TCGAATAAATTGAGCATTGGGTTGATTGTTATTTGTACTATTTAAAATTGGATTAATTTTAATTTGGTTATTTATCCTCTGAAGAAGTGACTTACACTAAGTCACGAAACGTCAGAAAGTCTGATTTTCTACTCATTGGGATATTACAAATATATTATTTTTATTTATAAATAATAAATGAATAATACCTTAGATATTCAAAAAAGTTTCAGGAACTAAAACGTTCGCAGTTGTTTGAATATCGTCAGTATATATATCAATAAATATATCAACCACTTAAATTAGGGGATATACATACACTGTTATTAATATTAATTTCGTTAAGTGTCTCTGAACATAGCCAGTATGAAGCCTTAGACCGATTTTGAGATGTAACTTCAAAAGATAATCAGCGGAACGAGTTATTAATCATTAGAAAATGTATAATCACTCTTTAAGATTCGAGTTCACATTTTGGATCAAGCTAAGAAACAATATGATTATGAGATATATGAATTGTAACTGTGCAGATCATCCAAATCTATTGTTCAATAAAATGAACTATCTAGTAGAAGAAAAAAAGAATTCAATCAACGCTGAGAAGTAAAACATAATGAATTGGTCTTTATTCAAAGTGAAAAATTTCATTCATCTGTTTTTTTAGTTCATCAATTAATTTTTGTCGAGGATTGAAGAAGAACACAATCTCCTTTTCTTTAACCTTTTTTGTTGTTTCCAATAAATTTATTTAATTAAGTTCAAGTTACTTTTTCCTTCAGTAAACTGATCTGAAGATAATTATAATTATTAATAATATCTACAGTCATACATGAATGTACACACACACACATTTATACAGTGATCTAAGAGATAGTAATGGTTTTAAACGAGATTGTAACCAATTTGAAAAATAAGGATAAAAATTCAAACAAAATAGACGAGTAGTGGAACCAGAATGTTTATTTTATTGATAAATGAAGATAGATGAAGAAAATAAACTAATTATCAGCCTATTTATTATACTAGATACTTATAAACTTGTAAATTACCAACAAATAAATCTGTCAGAATCACAATTTTTGGCGTAAAATATTGGGCATTGAAATTCAGAAAAGTGAAAAAAAAGTTAGCAATAAAAGTAAGGAAAGATGGGAAAACGAAATGAAGAAATAAGGAGGAAATCAGAGTTTATTTCATGTTTAAGTATCATTAAGTGATTATGTCACTGGTAAACAGATTTTATAAACTGTTTATTTACATGAATTAAAGGAACATATATAATCTGACTAGTTTCTTAGTGTTGTTTTTGCAACAAACTATTAAATTTATATCATAAATAACCTTCATTAAAACAATTGAAGGAACAAGAATGATAGACAGTTGTTTAACAAGTTGTCTAAATCATTTGCCAAATACAAGTTTATGTGGTTGGTTTATGAAACGGAATTTCGAGAGAAAAACTAGTGTTATATTATCTGTCTGGCAAAAGTGAAGTAGATGTAGGGGAATTCGAACTCACGACCTATTGCTTGAATGCTCTAACTAAAACAGTTGGAAGAAAACTCTGAACCAAAGTTTAACGCCAGTTAGCCTTTATCATTTTAAGGAGTCTGATACTTTCTGTAGAAGTATAACTTGCGCTGCCTAGCATCATGGTTTCAGATGTCAAACAAAAACCAAATGAACTGATACATTTAAAGACTAGACAAACACGAAATCGACCACTACACAATGATTAATCAATGTGAACTTAACTCTCTAGAATCGAACACAAAAGCTTTAGGTTTTGTAAATGATGAAATATATCATTGACTTATTATAGCAATATAAATTTTTGCTTGACATTAGTGACGCAGATTGTCTAAAATACAAAATCCTAGATTTATTGAACTATCTTTTTTACATGAAAATTCTAATGAACACCCTTTGAATTATAGTTGATAGTACAATATAAGTTCCTATTTTTATTGATATGTCTTGTGTTCTTGCCGAAGCTACTACTTAGATTCAATCTACCAAAATAAGTCATCGTACACAACACGCGATTGATAGACCACGAAAATCCCCACATTTTAAAATCTCCAATCACAGCACTACAAAGCTAGATGAACGGTCACATGTACCAGTATCTTTCTTTAGACTCATAACTGAAATGATTATAGAAATAAAAACAAACAAACAAACTACAAAGTATCATAATTTTCAAATCTCAATGGGTGTATAACGTAGAGTAACAGGTTTATAATTAATTTTAGTGTACGGAAAGTAAAAGACAAAGCAATAATTAGGGTAACAAAAAAACTAGTTAACAGTCAGGACTCAATGAGAATACCAATATCTTAATAAATAATCATTCGAAAAAAAGAATGTGAAAAAGAATTCAGTGGAACATTGTTACCAAAGTTTCATATTTTTTTTACTGTCATCGTCTCAACACTACTCTATTCAAAGTGATCGTTTTTCCAGAATTAGCTTATTTGAAGTAAGAATTTTGGATAAGTAAATATAACTACTAAACTATTACATAGTGAACAGTGTTAGAGGTATGAGGGCGGTTGTCACTTCCCAGTTGACCACACCGTGGAAGGGTTCTTCTAGAGGTACATGGAAAGGAAATTGGGATAGAGGTGATCTTAATGACGTTAGAGGGTGACAACAGTGAGCAAGGGACAATTGCTTGAGGCCGGTCACACTCGAACTTTTTGTAAGTAGTTTCCGTGTTAGCTCCATAAGTGTTGAGACCTTACCGACGGAGATGGAAATCCGTGGGACAAGGTGAGGTGTGCATTTTTAGTGTCGACTTTTTCTAACCCCACTCTTCCTCTGTGAGAAGGGAACATTGCTGTCATGATGGTTGTCTGAGGGAAACACCTTACTTTCATTACGCCTCTATAGAGTCAGAAATACGACTTTGCCCTCGGACCTTGTGTTTGCTGCTTTTAATCCCATCGATCTACAGCCGACCTAACTGGCACGGTAGGACCCTGAGGAATGATTGTTCCAAGCAGTATAGCTCGATTGGTTCATCACGATAAGCAAGCCCAACCCCCGCGTCAAGGTAATAGCAACGGTCGGGAGTGTACAATGTAGATGATATTTAAAAGAGAAGCATTAATTTTGAATGTAGAAGAGACAATTATGTCATTAGTTTTCAGCTTTGTTTTAACTACTAGTCAGCTTTTTTCCAAATTTATCACTAAGTCAAGCAAACACTGTTTATAAGAAATAACTTAATTAAAGAAACTTTAGCTGAGAAGATGAAGATCAACAGTTTTTGTTCGTATTTGAAAAAAAATATCAGTCTTCAAATTAAAAAAGTCTGTTTCAAATAAATCATTTAGACGATTTCGAATTTTTGTAAATGATTGAGTATTCCTAATAAGACTTGTAAATAAGTTAATCAGATTGGTGAAAACTACTATAGATCGCTTAACTTGTTACTGTACTTCGGGCATTTATTGTTATGATTTGAACTATCTAATTAATTATAATACTGTAATAATATTAAGATAATGCCATAAATATAAATCTCTGATTGATTGAGAGTGAAAATGTTAACCACCATTAAAATGTGCGTAAAATATTTCTCCGTGAAAATTATGAATTGATTGGTTGGGCACTGATGATGAAATACACATAAAACAAGGATGGGATGTTTGATTATTACTAATTGCTTGTCGGTGGACCTACTTACTTGATACATATATATGATAAAAATGATCTTAACTGTACCGGGAGTCTTCAAAAGAATCATTTAACAGTTTTGAAAAACAAAGAAAAACACACGAACGAATGATTGTTTTTTTTTATCGTGAACTAACATCAGCTAGATCAATGTAGAAAAATGAGAGAGTAGTGAATAGTTGTTGCTTTTGTCCAAGTTTGAACTATCTCAGCAAAGCATACTCATGGATCTCCTCCCTAATCTTGAATCGATCCTGGAACGTTTAGATGTGATGATGAATATAATTATAACTTTAAGTTAATGAAGTATGAACTGATTGACTAACATTTCAAAATTCAAATAATTCGCTACATACAACATAGCTATATTCAGTGTCGTTTGTAGGTGACTAGGTAAACTCTGAATTCAGTTAAACTTCATGAGTCACGACTTTACACTAGAATCTCCGGAACTCTCATCCTGGGTTCCATTCACTTTAGTTGTGCCATAACTAAGCCAAAACATGGTATCAGTCTATAGGTCGCTGAATATCAAACTAAACCAAATTGGTAGCTGTAACCCAATGATTGGATATGTTAAATGATATGGTTGAGAATCAAGTTCAAAAGCGCGGATACATTCAATCTTTGCCTTCCGTTCGATCCAGAGTTTTCAAATAATCGCATACTTCTTATTCCGTAGACTCATTCTTTCTTCTCAAATAATATTGTCTATGAAAAGTGTTTCCTATTATTGTTGATACTGTTAGTACTTCTACTAATCTGGGATTTTATAATTTCGTCTTTATGTTTTAAAGTTGTGTGACGAACCGAACAGAGGTACATATGTGCCAGGTTCTACGTTGCTTATGACCGGTTGGGTGAGTTGTGCTCTTGTGATGTGTGCTACTGATTTCATCAGATATAAGTAGTATGTATCACTAATTGAAAGTGAAATGCCTGGCAGCAAAACGTTGAGAAAATCTAAGAGAACAGAACGAGAACACAGAGTGATTGTATGAAAACGAAGGAACAACAAAGTCTGAAACGATTGATTGATATTTTGCGAATGAAGTATCTACTGTATGGTTCTCAGATTTTACTAAGAGATTCTGTAATTTTGTATTCAAATGCACTTGGTTGTCCCCCAGTGGTGTTCTCGTTTACTACACATTTATCGTCAAATTAAAACAACAAAGGTGTCTAAAGTTGCTTGGTTTCCAAATGTCCACCAGATAATATCGCTCCATGAGAAAATCTAACATAAAATTACATTAATCTCCATAAATCTAATCAGTTTTTCAAATACTCAGTTGACATCATGTTAAAAGGGGAGGAAATTAAAAAGTTATATTTACCGACTAACTGAATAAACACCATCACGCATTAGACCATTTACTGTTCGTGAACCAGTTCTTGTATAATCACCCTATACAGAAACAACACAAAAGAAAGATAAATATATTTATCAATGTATTTCAGTTAGTGTTAGACAGTAATTGATTACTTAATATCATTTAATCTTGACTTATTGAACAGTTATCGACTAAACAGTATATTCATTGAAACACATAACTGAAGAGGAACACTATAACAAAGCTTCCCTCCTTTTTTAAAGAAATTTCCATGCATGATGAGATGAAGTTCATTCATTCCAGCAATCAGTGGTTATCTAACTTGGAGTAGTTCGTAATTTTTATGAAATTCAACAATCTTCGCAACTCGATACTGATGATCATATATTTACTGGTCAAGGTATTCTATATGAAAGCTAAAAATTGATATTTTGATTGAAATCATTAATTGATCGATGTTAACCTACCATTGAAAACCTGCAATTACTGGTTCTCAATGGTGGTCTAACATTGATCGGTTCATGATCTCAATTGGAACTCAATAATCTCTACAACCTTATAATGATAAAAATTGATAGTTGGAAAAATAGGAGAGAGCTAGAGAAACAAGTGAAATATATGAAGTAACAACGTTTTATATTAGCACTGGGATTAAAAATGGATTAAGGATTGTCGTTCTTGGATTCATAAAGGAGGCTTAAATTTTCTGATAGTTAGAGTTCCTACAGACTTAAAAATGATAACTTTATAGTTTTTATATAACAATCTAAAAAGTATTTCAGAGTTATTCGTATGAGCTTTCTCAGTTATATGATTAATTATAGAAAGGTACAGTCCCATTCTTTATCTATTTAACCTTTCATATTGGGACGTGAGCTGCTTATGCGGACAGATATAAACAGTATAAAGCAGGAATTAGAAATGAAATGCTTATCAGCCTTCTCACAATTGTTAAACACGCCAATAGCTGTCGGAACTTATGAGCTCACCGAAGTGAAAGGTACTTGGTTCAAGTATCAGTGTGAGCATCAACATTTGTGATATAAGAACATCCCAGCCGACGAATCGCAGATAGCAAGAAACCCAAGTCCTGGATCCTACTACTAGTTACAATGTAACCGTGCTAAAGCTTAAAATTGTCTCGATAAGTGAATATCCAATTCGGTTGTATAAAATGCATTAACACAAATACAGCACACTTCTATTCAAATCAAATGATATTGTCTTCTTAATACACCTTTCACCCAAATTAAAAAACAACTCATGACTTTTGAGCCGGATTACCATGGTAAACAAGATAAGGTTCTACAACTACTTGCAAATAGATGATCGTATACAAACTGTCGAATACCAAACAGTAAATACTGAGTAGTGAATACATGTCTTATCTGATCTTCTAGAACGAACTGATTCACTATATTTAAGTTTGACTCGACTATATATTCCATAGTCAGAAGCGAGTATCAAGATATGCGTATAACTATGTTACTCATGACTGATTTCATCATTAACCCACCAAATTGTATCAAAATTAGTATTTTGAAGGATCATACTGACTACTTCAACTGACCAGCTGTTTGTAGACCTATGATTTAGACAGAATTCAATTCTCTGACGTAGTTGTATGGATACGAACTAAAACTAACTGACAGAACCACTTGATGTCAAATTACTAAAATTTAAATTAATCATACTACACAATCCGCTGAATTCTCTGTACACTATCTAATAAAGTTCCAAGCTTGTCAATACTGTGACGAATATTTTGACGCCACAGTAACTTTATAAAGAATATCTCCTAAATGAAGTAGTTATTTAAAGATTATCATTTTCCAAATCTTCATACCATTTGGCAACTATTAATATTCACGGCTTAAAATGACCAAATTAATTCTGAGTAGATATGATATGGCAAAGGGATGGGGAAAGAAAATTAGTAAGCAGTATCATGTTGGAAATGTAGATGAAGAGTGAATAATTCTACGACATTGAGACTAATTTCGAACCATTTTATAAAAAGTTTCAAGATGTCAATATCGATTATCCTAAGAATTTCGGATAGGAAATCTGGATTTATTGACATAACTCAAAAAACAAGTTAGCAACTTCATGGGCTGATATCGCCTCTTAGCTAATCCATCAATAAATTCCCCCAATATACTCCGATGTGCAGAGTACGCTAAATCATTTATTTTAGATTAGAACGTTTGACATAACATTTAGGATAATCAGATTTTGGTTAGTACACATTGACTTTTAAATCTACTTGCTATGATACTGTGTCTGTATGATTAGAAACAGTGGAATATTAAAAATCTTAGGAATACACCTTGTTATGAGCATTGTCTTTACCATTATCATATCCTACCAAATCAATACTAAATAGATAAAACTTTACTGAACAAGGCAAAACAAGTTATCTTGTAAGTATTTTTTGAACATTTGTATATAATGAGATGACAAAACTTAATTTAACAGCCAAATATTTTTATCATAAACGATTTTCTCTAATGCTGATGGTAGCCAATAAAATCAATATTTCCGTCTTATCATTAACAAAAATCGAATTTATAATTAAGATTAAAATTGAGATAAGTTTCAGCATTAATAACATGGTATTGGTACTGAATATCAGCAGTCTTTCTGAGACAACAATGAAAGAACGCAAAGAATAGTTAAACATGCTCAGTTCCAACAGACCAGACTTCAAAAGCATATAGCAAAACAGCTCTCATTGACCCGTTACAGACCTGACCTTTTAAAGCTAGTCTAATATCATGAGAACGTCAGATATAACTGAGATTAACTTAAAGAGCTCTGATATTCACTAAACGTAGGCTGTTTTTATCCGTCATATCACTGCTACAACTCACACAATTGCCCGAATACACACTTTTAACGGCTCATTATCAAGAATGACTGAATACAGGCACATACTCATGAAAGTCTTGCAAAATGTTTATCTTTACGATATATATTAAGTTCATCAGTGTATTTCAATTAATATCCAGATTAGATTGTATGCTATATAATTTGAGTAGAGAATAATCAAAAAAGATATTTGCATAATTAGATAAATAAGAATAATTTATTTTTCAAGATGATGATCTTTAGGGAATTTCCTATTCAAAAGTAGTGTATTCAAGTCATATAATGACAAATATCTTAAGGGCATTTACAAATACATGATCGTGTAAAATTCCTAGGATTGTTATCATTAGTATTACTTCGATTAATAATATAGTTTGAGTACATTGTAATTAATATAAGTTATAGTAGAGAGAAAGTTAAACAGAATGTGCTCATATGACACTAATCTGCTAAAGACATCTATTAAGCAAAATAACAATGAAAAAAACGAATAGACAGGAGAAAACATGCACAAAAACACAAACATATACGAAACTTAACTTACTTTCATTGCACTCGTCCCTGCATAAATTCGACTGATAGCATCGCCATTTGTTGCCCACATATGTTGAACTGCGCGTAGAAATTCAGTGGGTAAACATTCCTCCGGGCCTAATAAACCAATTTTTTTCAACTATCATTTTATTAGTATTATGGAATTGAAAAGTGATAATGAAAACAGAAAAGAAGGTAACAGTTGAATACAATGATTAGAATAAAGTGAGACAATGTAAACATCTGTTGCTAAGATACAGCTCTGCTATTTTAGTAGTATTATATTCACTGTCCAGATAATTTCTAATTGCGATTTGCCAAAAAAACCATAAGTTATGATTAAACTTTTGAAAAAATCTTAAGCATTAACATTACTTCATACATTTTATTGGTTCATCGAATTTCAATAACTTCGAATTACATCCTCTGTTTATTGTCATTGATACTAACATAATCTCGATTTGTTTACTTTTACTCTTTCACTGTGTTGACGCGAAATGAGGTCACTTGGGTCGAAACATATTTGTGACAGGTTCTACGTTATTTATGATAGGTTTTTATGTAATGTAAGTAATAATATATTGCAAAAATGTAATTACCATGAAACTAATTGAGAATGTAAACATGTCGTGTAGGAATTATTAATGGAAACTTGGGAAAGCAATAAAGTGTTTTGTAAATTAATCATTATTTTTGAAAAAAAAGGGAGTTTCTGCAATGAATGGAGCATAATACTTTTTATTTCTAAGCTGACTTGAGTCAAAACTTAAATTTTACATCTTTCGAATTCAGGGGTAAAGAATATATATATATATATATATATATATATATATATATATATATATATATATATATAATGGGTGGATTGGATCAGTATCACTACTTATCTTGTCCTATCATTCTTAATAATCGCTGAGATCAACATACTGCTTTCTTCAGTTTCATGTCAGTTGAAGACTCTACGGGCTGAAAACTCAATGTCAATCTCTCATTCATATAGTTGTTGAATAATAGATAACTAGAGAACAACTGAGAGCCCGTCAGTCTGTTCTTCTAGAAGTGTCCCGTCTATCATTCTAGTAACTTTGTATCAACGGTGGATCAATGATTTACTTAACTCCAAGACAGTTTTACCATCCACTGACTTTTTAATCTTAGTTTTGAAATGCTAGATACAATTCGTAGTTTAGATCGAGGCACTTAATAGTATTGTGTTTTCTGAGCTGTACAGCTTAATTGAGGTGTTTCGGTAATTTTTCAAAATAACGCCACTAGTGCCCACTTCATGCAAGAAAACAAACGTTTAGTTGAAGTACGAAAAACGATCAACAATTAAAACTTTCCACAACTAAATCATCCAACTTGAACAACAAAGCATCATTAAAATGAAGTCCGTTTTTTACTGACAAATTAAAAAAAAAGTATTTCTTGTGTCTCTCCTTCTATGAACTATTGTATTGATATTTTATCAAATGATGATTGAAGTTGCGTTTTAATTTTAATTGTGTGTGACCTAGGCTAGTTTAATGTTATGCGTTTTTCTGAATTCAGAAAAGTGTTTAATATTGACTGAAATTGGAACCTTTCGATAAAATTGAACAAAAAAGGTGTAGATAAAGCTGATGTATGATAAAAAACAACTACCTATCAACAAATAGACAGATAGAGAAAGAAAACAAGAGGATATTAATGACTACAAATATGAAAGAAAAAAACAGTCTGAAAGTGAACCTGTAAAAGTAATATTTCAAACAGATCAAAAAAAGAAAAATAAGAATAAAAGAATTCGTTTTAATCTCAACAGTTGAGATCATGAGCCAATTGAAGCTAGACCACCATGGAAAACCTGGAAGCACTGGACGGCCGTTTCGTCCTATTGTGAGACTCCTCAGCAGTGCGCATCCACGATCCCACCTCGCGGGTTAAGCGCCTGGCGCGAGACTGATAGGTCCCGGGTTTGAATCCCGCGAGGCGGGGTCGTGAATGCACGCCGTTGAGGAGTCTCACAATAGGACGAAACGGCCGTCCAGTGCTTCCAGGTTTTCCATGGTGGTCTAGCTTCAATTGACTCATGATCTCAACTGTTGAAATTACTACAATCTCCACAAAACCCTTTCTGATAATAATTCGTTTTAAACTGATTTAGTTAAGAAATGAATCTTTTCTAATGCAATAATAATATATTCACATGTACAATGATGAAACAATAAACTAGTTAAAGAAAAGTAAAAATTAATGAAGTTAATTTTGTTTAAAAATTTAAATAAATCTTATGGATAGTAAATTTTGATTGAGTTAGAAACATGAAAATTAAGTATTTTCATTATCATAGTAACTAGACAGTTAATTTTTACTGAGATCCTAATAATAAACATGTTATCCTTTCATTATACTTTGAAGTTTGCACAAAAATCTAGAAGGTATTATCTTAAATCTAATAGGTTCATCAATATAGTTTAGTTTTATTGATAATTTGGATTGAAACATGTATTACCGATAGTTTTTCACTACAATTAAAAGTTGTAGTTATGGAAGTATTCAAAATTATAAACAGAAGTAAACACAAACAGATATTGATGGATATAATTTAAGGGTAAAGTCTAAAGAAATTCTACCAAACTTTTGTTTCATCTACATACAGTTAAAAAGCTATACTCAGGTTAACCGAGGAATAATTGACAAATTTGTAGTGAAAACGTCTTTATGATAATATTTTTTTAAAAATTCTTCCATTTAGTGATGATATTTTATGCCCCATTTTATTTTATTTGATTATCAATTTGTTTTCCATCGTGTATACATTACTTGAATGTTCCCTGGTGTATCTAGTTTAATGTACTGGAAAAACTTACACAAAATGTGATATTTAGATTATTAACATTATTTTGAAATGAAACAAGAAATCATAATTAAAACTAAGCAAAATAGTTCATGATCAAAATAAAAATGTAAATCTAGTTGAAAGTTGACTTTTTCATAAATTATCAGATTGGTGAGAAAAAAATTATTTTGCAATCGACTATTTGCATTTATTTTAACAATTTGAAAACCATGATTATTATGAATAGGTTTAAATGAAACTGTTAATTAACCAAACAATCAATAACTTTGTTCTGTATGGTGATGATCAAACCTATTTTTGTATACTGGTTATCAGTTGAAAAATCAATCCATTTTTTTTTATTGTTTATTAAGCAGGTCACAGCTGATGTATGGTAAGACTAAAAACGACGTAAAAGTTGTACAACCGACTGTAACGATACTGCTTACTCATAACGAAACGAGGAATTCAGAAAAGGTTGATTATAAAAACAGCACACCTTACTTTGTTCACCAAATAACCATTACTGACAATAAAGCCTTTAAATTATGGAGTTAACATATCAAGAGGTAGTCAAAAGTAGGACGTTTGTAACCGTGCTCAACAACTTGTCCGTTGGGTTATGTGGCTACATTACTACGTCGACAAGAACACTATTAACTCGGTTTACTTTTCAGGTAGAAATATCATTCTACAGTGTGGAAAGATATGAAATGACAACCTCTAATACATATCCAACTAGGGTCAAGATCGAATTCGCTCTTCACTTATTAATATTTCTTCTGTCCCCACTATTAATAATTAACCTATGGTTATATTTTTATTTCCACCAAATACCATTGCTAACTATTCAAGCTCATGAAATTTTATTTTTGGTCTCCTTAAACTGTGCTCCAAACTGCGTGTGTTGTGTTTATTACTACCGGGGATCGAACCCAAGACCCTCGTACAGAAACGGCTAACTTCGACTTGTCTACATGATTGACTTCAATCGAATCGTAATATCACGTAACCATCTTCCAATGTACTTGGTGGGTAAAATTCGGCATAGTAAAAGTCTACTGCTTACGGATTCTCACTATAGCTTCAAAATTATCCCTAAAAATTAGTCACTAGTGTGCACATGATATGTTAACCTTTTCAATCCATACAAAAACTCACACCAATGATTTAATTTACCTGATTTGTAATCATGACAACAGCGAACATACATTGAACTAAATTTGTACGATCTAAGCAATCTAGACAGTTCACATGAAATAACCATCTCTGTTCACATATTACACCATTATGAGTAACCCTAGAAAAGAATAATAAATATAAATTTAATCAACACTACTACTAATTAAAACAATAATATTTAAATAGGTATTTCGTAACGTTATGGTAAACCTTATGAACGTTCTCATGGCGTTATTTAACCTGTCAATCATAGAATGATTTAAAAAAAATATGCTGTATTGTATAAAGACAAATTCCTGAGTACTAGAAGTACTAACGGTACCATTGGTAGTAGAAAACATTAAGTGTTGAGAATATGATTCGAGAACAAGGAGTAAATCCATGGACAAATAGTGAATACATCTGTGCTACTGTGACAAAATATTAAGAATGTCGCCCGACCTTTCTAATCATTGATCGGCGTGTCGCATAAACCCTAATAGGGAAGTAGGCACCTACCAACTAGAGTCAGTTCGACAGTGAATGCCTTTATCGACTGATACTACATCTTAGTTTCACGCCCTAGCTTTATCCCAGTCCACGTTTGCACTGGAAAACATTATGTACCAAGATAGACAGTGGTTGGGTATATATAATACACGTTCTAACCACCTTAGATTATGATGGTTCACTATCTAGTCAATAGATTAGCTATTTTTACCTTAAGACAGGGTACTAGGTATAGATGGTAGATCTTTAATTGTTATGATAGTAATTTCATCCTACCTTCGAGACTCACAGTAACGTTACATAATCTCAACCTAACATTCGGTTGGAAACAGAGGCATTGAGTTTTTCTGTGGACGTGATAAATTTAGGTATTTATTTATGTAAAAACATGAATATTGTTATAAGGAGACACCAAATAGATATGCGCCACATAAATCATTCGATTTGTGTAAGAGCTGGGGTACTGCCCGGGTGCCCAAACTGAAGCAGGTGGATTTCTTGGGGAGTCACACCACGAACCTTTGATCTAAAGGTCTAATCCACAAGGCAGTGGAGCAACGTCAGGAGATGCATTGTCATGGTAGACGGTGACCAACGACTGAATCATACGACATTTGCTCCTTCAGGATACTGGAGCTCATGTGCACCATTGGTTTGTAATCAAGGTTTTCCAACTACTAGGTGAATCCTCCATAACCACCGACCCGGTTAAAGCACCGTAATTTGCTTTCCGTCCTCTCAGTTTCGTAAACAACACCCTCTCCGCGGGAAGGGAGTGAGTAGGACTTCCATAGCAGTAGTTGTATGAACGTGGCCATGTGAAAGCATTTCGAGAGAGAGAGTTGACTCTCCCCACTCTCGGCCGTGGGTATTTAAGAGCTAAATTAAAATCCAGTGTTCCACATTTTAAGCTTTAGTGACTCTCGATTTAGATCAAACATCATGACTCGATGTTATAGATGAAATAATAAAACACTCTCATTTTGATTGACATTACAAGTGACGTTAGTTTTTGATGAAGAAATAGTCTCAAGATATTACTTCAAGTAGAGGTGACAATAGTAATAGTAGTAATGATAATAATAATACAGTAGCAATATCTAAATAGAGATGAATAATTGGGATGAGTAGGGACTGCTTATCATAGCCAGGATAGCTTTTTTAGAAACGTTCATTTGAGTGCAACCAGCAGCAATCTGTGAACATAAGTTTTGTGCTAGTTGGGACTTTTTAGCTATCTAGATATCTACAATACTAAGTGAGCTGATGCATCTCGTGCTATTCGAACTCGTCAATCGGTATTTCAATGCACATTTCACGATTCTCATTTTTAAAAAAATCATTAAACAAAATAATCATAAGAACAATGACAATATTTAACAACTTACCAACAATATTTAAAATTACGAAATAAATCGTCAATACCGGATAAAAGAACTGAAGCATTTTGAAATTGAGAATTTCGACTGTGTTATAATATAGAAATTTATGTTGATATATATATGATAAAAAAGACAAAAAAAACATCCAAATAAATAAAATTAATGGTAAATAAAAGATTATCAATGAAAACTTGCTAAACACTAACATGGAAACAATATTAATTAAATAATGGGAACCATGTATTTCAGACTGAAAACCAACAGAAAAAAGGTGGGATATTTAAATTGATTTCAAATTATCACGATAACTACTAAATTTTTTATTAGGGGATAAAGTTTGCTCCATCTAAGTGATCACATGGAAACGCAATGACCTGATGAGATAATGACTAGTTAACAAATTTTCATGTATGAAGAATAAAAGTTGAACTAGACAAGTTGGAAGATAATGGGGAAAAATAGTGTGAATCAGACAACTCTGGATATAAAAACAATGTTACCAAGGTAGATTTAATGTAGGTACAAATTGTTTCTGATTAAACAATAGGGTAGGGTAAAAGCTCTAAAGCTTCAATATACCTAGGTATTTGACCTAGACCGCTTTTGAACTATATTAAGTAATGGAAGAAAATCGATGTTTGTTCACTGCTTTCGCTACGTGTCATTTGCCTTTATTTATTTTGATAAATGCACAACCACCCTAACTAATCATGATCACTACTCTCTATGCATTCATGTTCGCATACATATATGAAGTGGTTAACGCAGTGGAATATAACACAACCACTTGTTCATTATATGTGAAAAATTATATTTGAAATAATCTCAGCGATTGGAATTTAAATAATTCCAACGTTTTGTCCAGCTAACTTGTCTGGACTTCTTCGGGGTAATAATCAAAATCAAAATCAACAACCACTTGTTGTTTTAATTTCTAACCGCACTGATCTGATAACAATAAATCAAGTAGAAAAAAATATACTCATTTGATGCCTAATATTTTCTTCATTCAATTTAGTGTCAGAGTCTAAATTAACTGAAATTCATGATAATGTTCACTTGTAAAATTGTTATTTTTAATTGGAACTGAATATTTTCTGATTGAGATCATGAACCGATTGATGTTAGACCACCATTGAAAACCTAGAATCATTGGGCGGCCGTTTCGTCCTATTGTGGGGCTCCTCAGCAGTGCGCATCCACGATCCCGCTCGCGAGAGTCGAACTCAGAGCCTTCAGTCGTGTGGGCGAACGCTTAACCTCTAGACCACTCAGTCGGAATCCAACGGTGTTAATGTCTAACCTCAACCAATCCACGAAATTGCGCGACCATCTTCCATTGTACTGAAGTAGATACCTGTCTCTACTCGACACGGATTAGCTCCACTGGTCACGGCTTTTCACTAGAACTCCAAGAATTCCCTCACGAATCCCTGGGATCGAATTCAGCGAGCGGGATCGTGGGATCCCACAAGAGGACGAAACGGTCGTCCAGTGCTTCCAGGTTTTCCATGGTGTTCTAACATCAATCAGTTCGTGATCTCAATCAAAAAAGTAATAATCTCCACAACCCTATACTGATGAATATTTTCTGTTGATCGTCAGTTAAATAAATTAGGTAGTGTTATGGTTTGAGGGCAAATAGATTTTTTATGAACGTAATTGTATGGTACTATGGTAGGTGATTATTTGTGGGAAAAGGAAGAATTCTAAGAATAAATTTACATTTACACTCATGGAATGATTTGTAGAAATAATTAGAACACATTAAAAATACATTCAAAAAATTGTAAAAAACAAATTTACCATCTAATTATAATATGCAAGATTTAATTAATGATACAATTCGATTTCTTCTTCACTACCATCAGTTTTTCTCGACAGAAACATAAATGGAACGTAAGTATTTTATCAAATCAGAATATAATCTATGCAACTAAGATGTACGTATATATATATATATATATATATATATATATATATATATATATATATATATATATATATATATATATATATATATATATATATACTGTTATGTAAAATTAAGAGCTATATTTAAACAAACTTTCATTTCTCAGTATTCAGACAGATTCAATTGAAAGGTTTTCGTTTTCGTATTTTAACCGAAAAAAATAGTAGAAAATGATAAATGAGTAATTCATTTATTAGTTTAGAAATTAATTACTGTATGAACTAGTCGAGAGAAGAAGAGATATATGATGAGTGAATGTAGGAAGTACGATAAACAGTTTAGTAAAAGAGAAAAAGAAACATATGATCAAGTGAATCAACTGTCAATTGGCAAAGTTTGAACATTTGAATTGATTATAAACTTTTCTACCCTCACGGTGAAATTTAAAAGAATACAAAGTGTACATACATACATTGATGACAAAACAAATATTCAATACATTCCATCATGATTTTCAATGATTTCCCAGCTGATATGAGTATTAATTAGAAAGAAATCATTTTAAGAATGAAATTCAATTGTGTTTTAATAGTATAATTTAATTTGAACTGATTTTCATTTTCTTTTAAAAAGAAAAGGAGAATCAGTAGTTGAACAATGAGAACTTGACAATTTTCAAAAACGTTCTTAATGATACAGAAATAGCTATAATTAGACTAATAACATTTTTGCTCTGTGGATTGATATGGAATTTATTAGATTTTAAATCCCAGTTCATATTGGAATATGATCTGAATCATTGTACTAAATAGTTTATTCTGTGATTGTACAGATTAACAAAAAATCACTCAATAATTTTTCATTCTAATGTTAAGAAATTGAAAAATGTACATAAGATGTACATAACAACGTACAAATAAGATATTTTAGATGATCATAAATTCTATAATCACCAGTCAAGTTTTAGCTTCTAGGTGAAGTTCAACTATATACCTTATTAACTCAAATTATTCGATATAGTTCGTTAGACATTATCGAATCAATTGACACGAACCATTAACTTAATTTTTGACATTTGAACAGTAAAAGAATAGTAACAACTTTACACATAATCCAAACAAATTACATGTACACCATAGGACTGGAACTATTCGGATAATTCATATTCTAAACATCGATTAATTATCTTATGAAAAATGGCCTTGAGTTGAGTAAACTAGGAAATCTAATATCATTCATTTAAGCAATTTACTATTAGTGGTATATTAGTTACATTCTTTCGAATTTAATCTATAACATGGGGATAGTAATAACTAATTTTAATTAACATTAATAATTGACTTGAATAAAATTCAAAACAAAAGTTAATTTACTCTTATTTCACCAAATCACTAATTCCATTTGATTTTTGAATTATAATACAAAAGGGATATTAACCAGGTTTCATAACGCCGTTTCAAGGTCATGGAGTAAACTCACTTAAGTATGATGTAAGAATAAATAGGATGCTTTACAATTTCGACAATGTTACAGTACATAACGTATAAGTAAAATAAAGTATTAGTTCAGAAAATCATTTAATGTGATTGTGGTACAATAAGTCTAAAAGAGCTGATACTCACTTATTTTTTTCAAAAAAGACTTTTCGATAACTAGTGTTTCTGGTGGTGAATTGGATCATATAAGTTCCATTAACTAGTATAGTTCCCCTCTTTAATTTAAGTCTAGTTACAACGGAGCGACGGTTTTGATAGCCCCCAAATGCTTACGGCCGAGAGTGGGGAGAGTCAGCTCTACCTCTCAAAATGCTCTCACATGGGCACGCGTATATAATCTCTGCCAGGGAAGTTCTACTCACTCCCTTCCCGCGGAGGGGGTGTTGTTTACGAAACTGAGAGGACGAAAAGCGAACTACGGCACTTTAACCGGGTTGATGGACACGGAGAATCCACCTAGAGGAGTTGGAAAACCCTGATTACAAACCAATGATGCACATGAGCTCCAGTATCCTGGGGGGGCAAATGTCGTATGAACCAATTTTTGGTCACCGTCTGCCATGAGAATGCAACTCCTGACGTTGCCCCACTGCCTTGTGGATTAGACCTTTATATCAAAGGTTTGGGGTGTGGCCCTCTGAGAAAACCGCGTGCTTCAGTTTGGGCACCCGGGCAGTATCCCAGCCCTCACACAAATCGAATGATTTAGGTGGCGCATATGTATCTGGTGCCCCCTTGTACCAATATCTATGTGTTCAAATATATAAATAAAAGAGAAACAAGTGCTCAAAAATCACAATAGTTGCATTACAATCTATGGACAGGAGAAGTAGAATTCGACAAAATAGGCATTAAATCCAGATGCATGAATTTCTCTACAGCATATCTCTTCAGTTCAAATCGCAAAAGCCTTTAACCAACCCTGATAAATTTATAAATCATACAGAAACATTATCACAAATCCGATTTTTTTTCTTCTTTATTTTTATAATAACTTTCCTCAGTAAAAATTTATCGTACTCATTGCCATCTTTTTCACAAACTTAAAGTTGACAAAAGCTTCTCAAGTTCATTCTGAGAGTAACACCAATGACAACAATATTTTTGACTAATATCTTGATTTGGCTATCCTCAGATTTGACATCCAATCTATTTTTTTCTTTTTATGGTACTCAAGATATTAGAAAGTTTTAATTCTGTCAAACACTGAATAAGATAGTAAGACAAATAAATTAAATATATACATCACTTGATAACTAAATTCGTCTGGTAGTCACTTATGTGGTTTAGTTTTTATTCTCAAATTGTATGATTGTTCACGAAATCTATCATAAGAAATAGTATGAAATATTTCTTTAAAAGCCAATAAAGACTAATAGAAAACTTGTCTATAAACAAGGTCAATTAATCCTCTTCTCTATTTTAATTAAGAAAGGTGATTTTCCAAGACATTTTTAAAAGAGAAAATTTTATTTTCATTGTAGAAAAAAAAAGTTTATCAAAGTCGTGTTGCTTTCTTTTTTCTGTTGCCTTTCTACCTATCCAAATTTTATGACTTCAGAAAGTAATGTGACAGGAGAAAAAAGCATATTTTTTACAGAACTAAATTTATACTGATTTTAATTAGTTATTTCATTGGCCAATAAGAGATTTATTGTATCTTTAAAAGCTAA